CCTGCTGGTATTAGGTCTCTGCCTGCTGGTATTAGGAGGACACACCAGGTGTCAGATGACAGGCTAATGAGGCCATTGCCACTGTAGTGGTGACTGTCCACTTCTTTATGGGGTCTAGGGTTATACCCTTTCCTTGCTCTAGTGTTTCTGATAAGTTCTTATACTTGATTTCTCCAATACAATTTCTGTATACACGAATGTGACCCCTGCAGTCTCAATTCACCCAAATAAATTTCAAGGGTACTTTCATATTTACTATTATAAACGGTATCAGGTCATGACCAAGCCAGTAATAAGAAGGAGCAGAGGCAATGAGGCCTTGTCTTTGGTCCTCTCTGTGCTACTATGATGGTTTATAGACAGGGTCACCTCCTGAGCGTTAGTGCCTTTCTCTGTGTATGATGATAACAGCACCTTCTCAAGCAACCCTTTAGCTTTGCCTGCTCATCTGTGGAGTGAACATTCCTGAATACTCTCTAGGTCACTTTGTGGTTTGTTATCTTCCCGAGAAGCCTGCTGGGCTTCTTCCTCAGCCTCTCCAGCTATAAGAATCTGCTTTGACATTTCAGAACCATCTTTCACTTGTTTTCTCTTAAATTTGTTCATCTCTGTCTATCATTGTTACAATCAGTTATGTTTCAGCCTTGCACCTTCTGGTAAGCTGTTTGAAGGATGTACCTATGACTACCTTGTTTCTGGACCCCATGGGGAGACGTTTTTAATGCTTCACATTCTGCAGTTCTTCACAGACTGTAAACTGACATGTCAGTAAAATAATGTCATGGCACTAGAATGTCTTCATGAATACTGTTGGGGAAAAATAATGGCTTGAACACTTCAGAAAGACTCTCTTGGACCCAGGTAAAGATCATTACTGAAATATCCTTAACAAGTTTACATGATTCTCATACTCTAATGCATCTACTATTGCCGCTAGCAACCCTTAAATACATATTGGGGTGTAATTACTGATAAGAGTTGGAGATATGGGCCCAAGGCCCAACGTGGCTGGTTGGGAATCTAGAGTCTAGCATTTCTGAGATGCTTAGTCTTACAGAAGAGTCTTTCCCTCATTGAAACTCAATCCTTACCTCATCGACTGTGAGCTTTACATGAGCTGGCTGAGGAAACCCTGTCACCAAACCTGGGCCCTGGCTTAGCCCTTAAATATTGCTATTATACTACTTCTTATCTCTGTCACAATGAAATGTATATGGCTTTTCACAAGCCACATTTTATCTTTTTGGAGTATGATAGAATTCAGCTCTAATACTTGATAATAATTCAATGGACAAATTATAATTTAGACTTGGGACTCATCATAAAAATCTATACAGGGTTCATATTCTGATGCTCCAGAAGTACCTCCCAAACATTTACAGCTGACTCCCAGGTGCCTTTTGGTCCTCCTGTCTCTTCTGCCAGAAGCCTTGGGACTACCTAGATAAAGATGTTCTCTTTAGAACTTTGACAAGAGACTCAGGATCCCAATCCCTTCTGGTTGTTTAGTGAGTGCTTTGACATATCAAAATGTGTGTGCTTTGGATCACTAGGTGATTGGCAGGGCCCTTCCCACCGTTGACACAATCTTTGCCAATACATGCTTATGTGAGACCAGAGATGCGGGGGGGAGCTTGACAGCGAGCTCTTTTCTCAGAGGCCCTGTGGACATCACTTGTAGGGTCTGCAGAGACCTGGGCCTGAAGAGTGGTCACAGTCTTTGCCCTTCAGAATAATAGGAGCATTTTATGTAACTTGCTTAGGTTTGTTTCTTAAATCTGTAATAAGGGAGTTGGCTACTCCCCAGCCTGCCGTTTGGCACTGTATAAAGGAAGTGGATGCTTATTGGTGTCTTATAAGTGTTACAGGCTTCTACACAGAAGTGTAACCAAAACATTTTATACCAAACACTGAAAAAACAATTACACCAAAATAACTGTTTTTTTACACCAACTTAGAGTTTGAAACAGATATTATTTATAAAGTAGGGTTTGTTACTGAGTATGTTTTGGTCTTCAATTAAATTCTTTTAAAACTCAGGCTCCATGGTACAATGGCTCCGGAATTAGTAATAATAAAACATTAGTTACACTGGTGGATAATGGCTTTATTTAAAATAAGATGAAGTGTTAATTCAGTGTCTCCCAGGAATAAGTAAATGTCGTTAAGCAGCTATCCAGAGGCCGCAACCATTACTAGTACTCATTAGATTGGTGGCTGAGATACACAGGACAGTTTATGTTTTGTGTAGGAGTTTCTCCTTGCTATTATGATTGAGCCTCACAATTCCTCTGAGGAATCTTTGCTATAGCTCCTTTTACTGACAGAGGAACTGAGAATCAAAGGCGTTTGTTTGCTTTAAATCCCAGCACTCACAGGAAATAACAAAGCCCAGGAAGCTATGAAGCAACCCAGGGTTCAGGGCAAGGATCTGCTGCCAGAACTTATGCTGTGTGGGCTCCATCATTACACACAGGCAGCACATATAAGTGGGAGTCAGGCCTACTTCACGGAGATAGGCTATGCACAGTGCTTAGCATGGGATTAGGCACTGACACGTAATGAACTTGGACATTCTTCATCTTCCACTTCATTTTCCTTTGGAGCACTTGGGTGTTGACAAACACAGCCACAGGCAGCTTACAATTTACGCATTTCTCCAAACCACCCAGGAACATGCTCCTCAGAACCCAGAAACTGACTGCATTGCCACTTCTTTTCCATCTTGTGTGCCCTGGGTGTTGGGGACTTTTCTCCACTCTCCCTTCCCCTCTCCCTGGCCTGGGAGCCAATGTTTCATCCCTTTGTCTTGCCCCAGCTCTGGAACCTCTGGGAGTGGCAGGTGGCTATGGAGGTGTGTGGGTGTGGGGGGGGGGTGAAAGGGGGAGGGTGATGGTGTTATATTATATCAGAAAGGAAGAGAAGAAAAAGAGCTACAACCTCACTGGGAGATGCTGCCAGTCCTTCCTGAGCTTTCTCTCCTTCACTTAGAGCCTCTGCTTCTGCCACCCTGGCCAAGATCCCCTGGAGTAGCCTTTGCTCCGGACCTAGGGAAGTACTTGTCCTGTGGGCTCAGTCAGATTCTGCCATCTGAGAAGTTGACAGGAACACACATTCACTTGTCCACACTAGCCTACAGAACAAGAGTACAGATGTGGAGCGACAGGCACTTTGTACTTTTAGGAGTTCTGTGGGCAGTTCTGATGTGTGCTCAGATTTGAAAACCACAGCTTTAAAGAAAGAATGTGAAAGAAAGCAGAGAGCTTGAACATTCCACTTTGATCCTTGCTGAGCATTGTGCTGACCCTGCAGGCCTTTCTCAAAGGCAGTATGCTGGCCCTAGAGGCCGGGGCCTGGGGATGGAAGTACTTAACTAGCTAACTTTTGCTTTGTCAGACAGGAGAGGTCTAAAGAGGCTGCTATTTCCCGAGGGCTGACCATGGGCTATGCACTTGGCACTCACTGTTTCGTTTAATTTCTATTTTAACATTCTTGAAAGAGAATTTATCTGTATAGTTGGAGACATTTGGAGCCGTGCTGTGAGAAAGTTAGAAAAAAGATAGAGGAAGTGGAGCTGATACAGGACCCCAGAGGACACAGACTCTCCGTAAAGTAGGGGGAGAGCTCATTTACTGACTCATTATGTTGCAGGGAAAACTAAAGACTAGAAAGGAGAAAGGGCTTGCCCAAGGTCATGCAGAAAGCCAATGTCTACCAATGCTTAATGACATACTCTGCTTATGCCTTATTCACAAACAATTGCTTGCATTTTAAAGCTGTTTTGAATTTTGTATACTAAGATAAATTTGAGTTTGTAGAAAAGTTGCAATAAGAGCATTCTCTGACTCTTCTTCCTGCCTTTTCTCCCTGACCATCTTTAAGGCCACAGGGGAGATGCTTCAATTCTGCATTCTGAGTAACTGTGGATTTACTCTCAGTTATAAGAAATATTACAGACACTCCCGGTGTCGCCTTAGGGGTGTAGTGGGAAAATTTCCTAACAAGTTGGGAGGAGCTAAGGTGGGAGGAGTAAGGAAAGGAAGAGGGAAAGGAAGAGGAGGAGGTAGGGGAGAGAGGACCAGAGAGAGGGGAACATGGAAGTAGATGTGCGCCTGTCAAAGGTAATTGATATATCTAGGTTGGGGATTGGGGTACACCTTTGATTGTGTGGGTATCTTGTTATTGAGCATTATCAAACATATAAAGCTTTTGGATAATCTAAGCATTAGAGTCTTATTTCTACTGGGCCCGGGCAGAGCCATCTCCCACACTGGCATCTCTTGGGTGGCAGGGCCAGTGTCTCTGGCCACCTGAGTGGGGCAGCCTGAGCTGAGTGACTCTGCTGCTGCTGTTTGTGGCCTCAGGCCTAGGCTAGTCGGGGAACATTGCTGCTCTGTAACCACAAGCCAGAGTGGGTGTGGCCATTTTAAATATCTCCCGAAACATAGGGGTATTTTGCCTCATAGCAATATCTTATGCAGAACTTATATGGTTGCTTAAGCATTTCTCCCCCACCCCTTCTCTCTTTATATTCAGGCTCAACCTCACACAAGCTGATGTTCTCAGCTCTCCTCTGATGAAACACTTGGATCTTTCTGCAAGAATTGTCTAAGTCCCCAGGCTGGTTTCTGGTCGAGCATAAGCTGGAACTGTTGGAGTCCCCAGGCGATCTTAAGGGACACCATGATCTTAGACTACAGGCTCCTGACACGAGGCCACAGTCCTCCATAGATTTGGGTCCATTAGTCACATGGGACAGCGCCCTTCACAGGTAGAGGGCATGACCACAGGTCACGGAGCCTCAAGACAGATCTCCATATTAATGAGGTACCTAAAGGCCAGAGGGGCATAGCCAATTAAACATTCCTTCCCAGACACTCCTCCTTGCAAAAAGTAGTTAACCTCAGGCCCACTCTGAGTAAATGGGGGTATAGTTTTTTATCTACTTTCTGCCATGACAATAAATATCTTAAAACCATGGATCATTTCTCTTTTAACAGAATCTGCTATGGAGAACAATGGAGAAGGTTTTCACCTACAGAGCTGCTGCCTTATCTCCTGCAGAAGACCTCTCTGCATTCCCAGCCACCAGCGACCACCAACCCAAACAAGCCAGCTGAGACTCTCATCCCCACCACAGCTGGAGCCTCTCTCCCTTTCTCCCCCTTTGGCCTCAGGCTAATCTAGCTCATATGCCCCCCCCGACTTTGTTCTCAGCCCTTCTGGGGCTCCCATAGTCCAGCATGGGTGCCCAAGAGCCTGAGAACCAGAAGAGCTAGCTCTGATTCCCTGCAGGACCTCAGACTGTGTTCCTCCACCTCTGGAGCAGGGTTCCGCGGCTTCACATAGCCTGATGCCTGACCAGCGCTGCTGTGGGGAGAGCACCGACAAACTTCCCGTGCCTCTGTCTTCCCCGAGTGGCCCTAGCCCCCCAGTGAGCCAGATGTGGCACACACATCAACCCAACAACTGGTCTGGGACCCCCACACATCAATCCAACAGGTGCTGCCATCCATTGTTCAAGTACAAGGAGATGGGAAACTCATACACACAGGGTTGTAGGAAGTGGAAAACCTGAGATTGTTCTTGGGAGGGAGCCAGAGCCCAGAGCCAATCTCTACAGAAATTCATCCTGTCTACACTGCTGAGCCGAGCATCACAACGTTCTTTGTGCTCTCTTGTTTGATGCTGTGTTCCTCCCAGGAGGTTTTCACTTCAGCAACTAAGTACATGGCTGAATGACTGAACTCCAGGCAGGTGTGTGTCACAGAGACAATGTTCATTAAAAGAGTAGCTTTGTTGCTGGGACACAAGGATAGCCAGGGCTGGCCAGTCAGAAACAAAGCCAAGAAGTACGTGCCTTGCTGAGGGAAAGAGCCCCTAAAAGCTAACAGGGAAGGAGTATGCCAGAGTAAGTCTCTTGAACTGGGGTAATGGTAACTCATTTAAGTTTTCTGAGTCCTGGGGCCCTGTGATAACCTGTCCTCACAGCCCTGACTTACTATATTCCTAAGTGAGTTGGGAGAAATTCAATTCATGTGTTCCCGGGCAATTTACTTGATTTTCAGGAAAACACCACAGTTGTGTATGAGGCATCGGATGGTGCTGGTAATGCTTTCTTTGTTCCATTTGCAGTCCAGTCCTGATGGAAAGCCAGCTGGTCCATTACAGGTCAGTGAGCAAGAGCAAAGGGCACAATGTCCGAGGGAGGCGTCTGTCAGAGTACTAAAGAGTCCTGCAAGAAGTGGGAGAGGTAACGAGCTACCAGCTCCACCATGCCAGCTGGCAGGACCTGGGAGAGGTGGAAACAGCTTGGGGTTGCAGAAGAGCTGCAAAGCTTCTGGTGCAGAGGAAAATGGGGGTCACCAGGTAAACACCAGGCTTGCTTCTTCTTCAGTCTTGGTAAGTTAACTTTCTCCCCAGGGCCTCATCCACCTCTTCTGCAGAGCGCCTTATTGTAATCCATGATATCTGTGGACTCAAATAGACTATTAATTTATTTTATTGAGACTTTAGTATTTCATTATGAATATTATTTGGCACTGCCTAAATAAATGTTTTTCCAAGAAATATTTTTCACTGTCATGCTCAATGAGAAATACATTTTACACAGTAATCTGGTATGGTGAATACCAAGTGACTGAAAGAACAGGTCCGTGGATCAACACTTTTCCTTCCTTTAGAACAGGCCAGTAAGACATTGTAGAGGCTTTCCAATAAAGGCTGCAAGGCTTCGCTGGGGAAAGGACAGTCTACAGAAGCTGTAATGGGAGAATTATAAGCCCACAAATAACAAATCTGGTGACTTCAGCACTTGGAGTGGTAGGCAGAATTTGTTAAAAAAAAAATGTGTTGCACCTGAAAAGAAGATCTAAATATAACGAATGAGTTACACATACTTGCAAAACAGGGCCAGTCATCCCAGGCATTATTTTAAGTGAAGAAGCTAAACATCAAAGGCAAATGTTTTATGGTTTCATTTATATGAATTTTCTACAAAAGCAAAACAATAGAGAGACAGGAAGCAGACCAGAGGTTTGCTGGGGTAAAGGAATGTGCAAAAGGAGGGGGGGTGCTGTGTGGGGTAAGGAGAGAGAGCTCTGAAACCATTGATGGTGATGACTACCCATCTGCATAAAGTTAGAAAAGCCAGCACACTGTGTACTGGGTAAGCCCAGGATAGGAAGGCTGAGGCTATGGGAGGCACAGGGACTGACAAAAACAAGCCCGACGTAGAGATGACAGATGATTCTGTTCATTTGTACCATGTTCTTCAGACATGCTGCGTTTGGTCTAAACCTCTCAGTACTTCACTGTCTCCTCACACGGCATCCGCAGCATCATTAAATCACATGTGGTTTACATGTGGAGAACCATTAGAATAGGTGAACACTGCTTAGATTCATCTTGGCAACTAAATTCTTCTTATAATCAGTGAAGTTTTAGAAATCCAAGCAAATCTTAGAGTTGTTGTTTTGTATTTTGTAATTTTTCTTTTAAGGGCAAGATCTCACTGCATTGTCCAGGATGAACTATTGGGCTCTAGTGCCCCTAGCTTCCTGGGGGAGCTGGAATTGTGACACATGCTTCTATACAATAACCATGAATAGACCATAGCAAGCTGTGGTTTCAGGCACACACATTTGTCATGTTTGCAGCTGGTTCTGACTATGTGTAAAGCACAGGTAAGGCAGTTTCTCTTTAGACTTTAGGATTGGAAGTAGACACCTGCAGCCTAGTTCCCTGGGCTGCTAAGCAGCTCTGTGGCTCTGGTCTTGTTCCAGTTCCATCAAGAGCATCCTTGGACCTTTATCTCAAACATGCAGAAGCAGAACTTCTCCAGCATCTTAGTGTGCCATTTACAGTAAATATCTACAAGTGTCAGTGGTGTTTATGAGTCTTATTTGCAACCATACCTTTTGGGCATTCAGTTTTGAGAATAGTCCCTGAGAGTACTTCCTTTAGGTTCTACCCAGCAGTTACCTAGCAACAACCAGGTACTCATGTATAAAAGGACTCCTCCTCCTCCTCCTCCTCCTCCTCCTCCTCCACTTCCAATTCCACTTCCGCCTCTGCCTCCACCTCTGTCACCACCTCCTCCTTCTCTTCCTCCTCCTCCTCTTCTTCCTCTTCCCCTTCCCCTCCCTCCCTTAC